CTTGATCATCTTCAGATACGAAAAAATTTCTAGTTGAACGTTCAGAGGAATTAAGCACAGACACACAGACACACACACATACATATATATTACGAGTGGAAACACGTTTTTCGGTTTACAATTTGAAGGCCACAAGCGAAGACACGTTTTGATTCACACTAAAGAGTTTCTATGATAAATACTTACTTATGAAAACACGTGTTTTTGTTCGCAATATGTGCAATATTTTAAATATGTAAAAAAATGCTCATGACAGACTTGTTTGTTTGTTTGTTGTTAAACGAAAAGCTACACTATGGGCTATTTGTTCTATTCGCATAACAGGGATCGAATTATGAATTTTAGCGAGATGGCAGATGATAGGAAAATACAGTAGAAACCATAGATATTATTTGGTAAGGAAGTACGTTTTTCACTCATAAATGCATATACTTTTGTGTTTAAAACATTGCTAAGTTACGTAGTGATACATTTAAAGTTTATTGTATGAACTATATGAGATAATTATTCAAATTTAAACAAAATCTAGCACACACATACTGAAAGGGAACTTTTGAGATTTTATAAGACAAAACAGAATTGTTATAATTTGGGATTTTGTTACCACTGTAGCTCAGAACAGAAATTCCAAACTTTCTCAGCACAAAGCCTTCCAGAACATTCTGTATCCTAATCTATAGATACTGAGTACCTTAACAGTATTACACATTTTGTATATTTGCTACGGCTCACCTGGCACCATCCTTCGGTTTTTGGGGGGGTCTGTGTACCCCCAGTTTGAGAACCCTTGGGTTAAAAATATTGATGCTCTTTTATGGTTAGAATGCTCGGAATGCGAAATATTTATTTCACGTCATAAAAGAACTTTCATTGTTATTTGCGTATTATAATAATAATATTCCAAATTTTATTGATAATTATTAGACAAGCAATTTAAGCAAACGTCTGCTCAAAATGCATGCCACTATCAATAGTTATAATTTTCCTGTGTCCTGTGATTTTTATCTTAAAGACGCTGTCTGCAGAATTCGTATGGGTTTGTTGACTTTCTACACTTTCGTTATTTATCATTTTTGTCGGTTGATAAAACATATTATCACACTTTGTAGTAAAATAAACGTTGACGCCTTTTCATATGTTTTTAAAGTTAGGTTCACATTTCAAGTGGTTTCTGTATGACGTAATTTTAATTGTTAACCACAATGTCATCGAAGCTAACTATTACCTGTACAGACTTAGCTTGGGTGTTTAATCTTATCAAGCTTATTTCGAATTTTATATTGATATGATTGCCACACGTTTACCGACAAACAGTTCTTCCGGTGCATGTTTTATTTTTAAATATAGAATAAAAAAGGTGCCTGCGTTTTACTATTTCATTACTTATGTGAAACTGGTAAACTTTGGGAAATTTAAAAAGGGTTAAACTTTCTTCATGGAGGTATATAAATTCAGGCGTGGTTAAATGCACACTTTTCAAGGCCCAGACAAAAGTTTTATAGTGTATCCTATATATGTGACCCATGCCAGTGCGCTAGGGGTAAATCATTTGTGCCCAAGTAGGGCCGACCCTATCGGAGGTGGGAGCCGACTCCCTGAAATGTCGTTGCCCCCCCCCCCCCAAATTAATACCATACATTAATGTAATTTTAGATTTGTCCCGATCATACGCCTCATTACTCCCTATCCCCTCCCAGTTAAGAAACCATGGAGCCGTGTCTGTGCCCAGGTCAATGAAATAGTTAATAAAAAACATTACTATGATCTGTTTTTGAAGGAGAGATAGCTTCATTATTATGACAAGTTGTTCTGTAACACAGACATACACAAAGTTTTTCTATACTATGTACAGTAACATTTTCCGTTCGTTTTTTTATTTTTTCTTGTAGATGAAAAATATCTAAAATTTAACTTGGGCATTTAAGTGATCAGTATTTTGCAATATCGAGAAATAGGTATATTTATTGTGAATGTAATATTGATTAATATAATCCCCTTCCTTATCGGTTCTAACAAGTTGATGCTGGTCAAAATATACAGTTAAAGTAAGCAACATATTTCGCAGAATATGCGCAGATTAAAACGCGAATTTTTGAAAAGTTGACACCAATTTATGATATAGAAATAATTCATTATGATTTTCATTGAAAGCATGGTTAATTAAAACACTCCTGAGGAGTTGTAACGTCGAAACATGTAGAGTCGTCACCTTTTTGAAGGCAATAGATAGGCCTAAATAAAATGTTTTTAATTGTGTACCAGTTTAACGTTGATTATCATTTATGATTTTAACTTTATACATAAGTGCCAAAATACTATAAGCATGGTTAATTAATATTGTATTCTGGATATTCTGAATACCTAGGTGGAGATTACTTTTTGGGTATGTAAACGTTTTAAATTAGCTCTTTGATTTGAACGAATAAAGTTTCCTAGATCTTCCATACATTCATAACTGTTTGAAAGCATGGTTAATTAATATTGTATTCTGGATATTCTGAATACCTAGGTGGAGATTACTTTTTGAGTATGTAAACGTTTTAAATTACCCTCTTTTGACAATTTGTTTGTTTTGTAATTATGCACAAAGCTACACAATGGGCAATCTGTGCTCTGTCCAATACGGGTATCGAAACCCGGTTTCTAGCGTTGTAAGTCCGCAGTCATACCGCTGTGCTACGTGGGGGGGGGGGGGGACTTTTGACAATCTTGAATTCATCCCTGCTCCTACGTAATATTATTATTGAACCCAATCTTGTAGTACTGGAACTCAAGTAGTAGCAAAGTAAGTGATCGGTGTATTGTTAACTTTAACAATAACACAACACTAAATTGGAAGTAAATGATATCGCCAAATTAAGTGTTTAGAAATAATTTTTGTACAAAGGTAATGCATACTAAAGTATAGGTTGAATGGAAGTGTCTATTAAATGAAGTTTTATTGGTGTCACATAAACACATTTTCACAACTTTCTTATTCTAAAAAAATTATAATTCTAGCACTGACAGTCGTTTTCTGTTAGTTATCTACAAAACATTCCCTTTTTAAAGCCAAAACGCCACAAACAAAGCACTGGAGAAGCAAACAGTTATGAATGTATGGAAGATCTAGAAAACTTTATTCGTTCAAATCAAAGAACTCCAAGAGAATGGATATAGGAAAATCACCCAAGGAGGAGAGTTTGAGAGGGGATTTGTCCTCCTCTGAGATGCTGAAGACGTTTTGAAATTTGAAGTCTCTCTGAGACCAATTCCTGACGTTTCCCATTGGCTTTTTTTTTGCCAGGCCACTCCCATCTGCAAATTAGGAATAAGAAATCGAAATGGCCAATATTTTCTGCTGCTACCATAGAGAACGTCCTTGCCTTAATTTGCTTGGGAAACTGCTAGAATCAGGATTTTGAAGTGATCCCTGGAATTAATTTATATAAAGCGCTGTTCATTGATACACTGGAGAGTTTGATAGTCATACCTATGAGAATGGTTCTTTAAAGACCTGTGGTGGGTTTTAAATCGATCATAATATCTTCAAAGAAAAGCTCCTTTATGGCTAACTTCAACCTTTAATATACTACAAATAGTCCAGACCCCCTTTGCATATACAGGAATACAAGTATAAATAATATCAGATATCCCCGATCCGTCCCTTAGAAGTCCTGTGAAGTTTGTTTTTCTTTTGACCTAAGCTTTCAGTCACTTTTGCGTACAATCTAATCTTTATATAATGAGTATTATATGACAGTATGATCACACTATCTTGAAATCATTAATCTCTTGTTACTTAAACATGGCTCCCTACGTATATTACCTATGTTGCTATTGTAAGTGTTGTTCTACTTTTCTTGTTTTCCACATTTGTTTGTTTTGAATTTCTCGCAAAGCTACGCGAGGGCTATCTGTGCTAGCCGTCCCTAATTTAGCAGTGTAAGACTAGAGGGAAGGCAGCCAGTCATCACCACCCACCGCCAACTCTTGGGCTACTCTTTTACCAGTGAGATTGACCGTCCCATTATAACGCCCCCACGGCTGAAAGGGCGAGCATGTTTGGTGGGACGGGTATTTGAAACCACGACCGCAGATTGCGAGTCGAGTGCCCTAACCACCTGGCCATGCGTGGCCTTTCCAAATTTACTTGCGATTCATTATGGTCATTATATAAAACTGGTCGAGTGGAAAGTATTCCAGTGTCTGAATCCTTGCATGTCGGGTTTACTGTGTTATTGAAAGGATCAAGTCAGTATTATTCGGTTAACTATTTGTTAGATTCTAGAGTAAATGAAAAGAATCAACTTCTACCTTGGTCATTTAAAGTGGATATGAGGATAAATAAATATTTAAGAAAAAGTTAACTTCGACAAGGGAATAGATCATTAAACTCAAAACCCAGATAAGTCATAGCTTTACCATTCTACATTCTATCAGACGATGTTAAATTTTTCGGCGTGTCTATTGATTATAGAAATTTCTGGAACAAATTCCTTCATTTGATCGAGAAATATGGTATAGTGGTGCATTACCACATCGAGTTTCTAGGTTTTTGCATGATATCAAAACCCTCCCATTCCTTAAACTATCGGCCTATATAGAGAACGAATAAATATATAGTTTAGTTTCTAGTTAATGACAGCTATTTCTTAGTATTAGTAATTAGAACATTTTTACAACAGCATCTTCCCGATTGACAACAGTTGCAGCAGGCTATATTTAATGTATATAACTATCTTATATCCTTGCAGTACAATACCTTGAAATGTTTCAAAAACATAAGCATGGTATTAGTAATTAGAACATTTTTACAACAGCATCTTCCCGATTGACAACAGTTGCAGCAGGCTATATTTAATGCATATAACTATCTTATGTCCTTGCAGTACAATACCTTGAAATGTTTCAAAAACATAAGCACCTCGTAAGATGAACAACATTCAACAATGATAGCAAAGAAAGAAGCTTTATTAGGACTCATATTTAAACTCTTATACCAACTTTATTTAATGCAGGCAGTGCAGCCTGGAACATCATAGCCACTTTCTTACGCCTCCCTATCTCAGGAACACACAGTATCGTTGGTGCAGTAGTAGGATTTTCATTGGTGGCAAGAGGAATACACGGAATACAATGGAGTCAACTTGGATTTATTGGTAAGTTTCTGTCTGCAGAACTCATTGTTCTATTAAAACTTATATGTAATTGAGTAATTGAGCTCTGGATTATAATAACTCGCAATACTTATTATTTCGGTGAAATTAGAAGTTTTTCTTAATCACACAACAAATTTTCGGTCTGACTTTTCTTTCATTAACCAGTGTATGAAAATCCTGAAAGTAAGAAAGGAAAAATTTGTGTTAAAAAAACGTTTGAAAATTTAGAAACATAAGTTGGTATATATACCACGTGCTTACCACGTGTCTTGACTTCTGTTTAGAGGAGTTTTACGCAAACTATATTGTACTTGAATTGACGTTTTAATGGTTTTGAGCTGAGGCCTTAATCAGATCGTCCACTTCTCTATTCCTGGCATATATAGTCTATGAATCTTTGCTTAAGCGCAAATTATTGTCGTAGAAGTATTCATTTTTATTTAGAGCTAATTTTAGTTTGAAATAAACTACATTGTTTATTCCAGTGGCTTCCTGGTTTATTTCTCCAATTATGTCTGGAATAGTTTCCGTCTTGCTGTTTCTTTTAATTCAACGTTTTATACTTAAAAAGGTAAGTTTATTACTTTATAAAAAAAACATTATATTAGAAATGCAGACACGTATTAACACAGAAAGCCATGGACTTCCACCTACTTTTCATGATAAATCTTGTGTGTGTGGTCTTTAGGATAAATGTCATTGCATGTTCAGTGTGATAATTTACCCTCTTTATCTCAACCATAGAAAGCTATGCATTTCATGATAAATCTTGGGAATATCCTTGTGTTTAATGGCATTGTAAAACGAAGAAATAAGGATCAACCTAGGGTATCAGGACCATTGTTTAAATTCTGCTGTGAAAAACAGATGAATTACTGGAGATTCTTTTTTACCCCTTCCTCCCAAAAAAAGTAAAAAATTAGAAAATTTCAGTCCTTATCAACTTAGTCCTCCAGGACTATTCAGAACGAGATTTGCAACAAGTCATACTTCAGCTGTAGTAAGCAAAGTACAGCGTCTTGTAACAGGTTGGAATACATAAACACAAAGATCAGTAACAAAAGCCGTCCACACACATACCAGCCAACATAATCAAGAAGAATCTCCGTCTGGAAAAGCGATATAATTCACTTACACGACATGTCCAGGAAAACTTTGGGGTTTGTTAGTTTTAAATTTCCCGCAAAACTAAAGAGAGCTATCTAGCCGTCCTTAGAGAGAAGACAGCTAGCCATCACCACCCACCGCCAACTATTGGGCCACTCTTTTACCAACGAATAGTGGGACTGACTATCACATTATAACGCCCCCACGGCTGAAAGGGCGAACGAACATGTTTGATGGGACGGGGATTTGAGCCCGCGACTCGCAGATAGTGTGATGGTGGATTGTGACCTGACTAATGGCGATTAAGTAGGAGTCGCATTTTTCATACTTATGTTCATTGTTTTACTGTTTATCTCCAGCTTTTTTTATACTAATAATGCTAATACAAATACTATACAATTAAGTGTTTATCTAGTATATTCTGAAGAGAGTAATAATATTTGTTTTTCTAAGCTGGTAGTTTCAGATTCATGTTGAAAAATCATGTTCTCTTTTTCTTATTTTTTTTTTCCACAAAGAAAAAAAACATATATATATTATGAACTGGTTGCATATCTATACTATTACAGAAAATTCAGAGATATTGTTAGCAGTAATTTTGGTAAACTTATCTTAATATAAAAATTGTTAAGAAACTTTCAATGTCACGCGCTTGCTGTTAAAACGAATACAACCGGGTACCTTCTGTCTTTCGGGCCTAGCATCTGCTTGGTGGTTAGGGAGATCGGCTCGTATGGATGCTCTAATCTTGATGATAAAAGTAAAATCCTAAACTGGGGATCTTTCTAGATGTTATTGCAATCTTGTAAGTTTAATCGTAAATTAAGATATCTAATATAAATTTAAATTGTTCAGTAGCAATGTCAAGTTTCAGAAATGCCTTGCATGAAGTCAACGACAAAAATTCGCATTACGAAAACCAACAAAAAAAAGAACGATGATATACAAATAATCAGTTTCAGTATTTTCGTAATACAAATTGTGTTATAATTCGAAACTATAAAGATTAATAAATGGATACTTAAACATTGAATTATTACGGAAGCCCTAAACCGCAAAGTAAAAAAAAAAAAAAAAAGTATTGTGTCGTACGTACGCGATAAGAAG